GGGTAAATAAATACAATTTAAGTCACTTCACGGTTAGCAAGGATCGTAATTCAAAAGGACTGAAGTATTCACAAATTGTGAATGAAGATGGAAACAATGATAAGGCTTATTCAGTGATTGGATGCAGTCCTGTAGCTTTTTGGCTGACACATTTTTTATTGTTTATATTTTGCTTGGCATCTAAGCGTGATTGACTTAGATATGGATATTTTCAGCAAGTAAACGTGAGCTGCAGTGGAGCAAAGCTGGAAAAGAGTACTGCTGAGATACTGCTTCTCCAAAAAAGAAATGAGCGCCCGTAGGAAGCGTTCTGTGTAACAGATAATGCACATACCTACAGGTACACGCACAGAAGTAACGACTGACGATGGAATCTGCAGTTAGTAAAAATTAGTTCTGCGTGGGCTGTCCGTCCTGTGAAATTATTGACAGGCAGTAAGACCTCTGCACCAGAGTGTCAACCTGAGAGCACAACTTAAGAAAGCGGTTTTAAACACTGGAATAGGCAAATTTTCACTACCACCTCTGTTACAGCGGACAGTTCATTTTGTCGTTTCCTCCTCTAATGACGTTTTTCCCCCTGTATGTTTGCTTTTTGGACTCACAGATGTAATAGGTTTCCTCATTCTTTACAAATCTGTGTTAAAATACCGCACTCAGGTGCATACAAAAATGCAACATTGTACTTCCACAGCCCTGAATTCAAGATAGCAGTTCCTGGCTTTTGTGCATCGATAACTTCTCCCATAACATTTCACAGTCCCGCTGTATCGTGTGCTATGCAGATACAGTTCCCATTCAGTGGTACATACGTGGAACACAGCTGCAGCAAATTGGTTTTAGTTTGGAATCTTTATCTACCTGTTTGGAATGATAAAGGCATTCTAACAAACTGAAAGAAGTCCATAAATTAAAAATTAAGATCACGCTGGCAATGAGAATTTCTGCTTTGTGTTATTCATTTATTTAAAGCAAAAGATTGATGAGTCTTATTCTGAATTGCGACTGAGTTAAAGTAGTGTTGCCAAAACTGTGCGCTCTATTGTGTTCTCTGTCTCTCAGGCTCTTGCGGTGCGCGTTGGCTGTGGCGGCGCGTGCTCAGGAGCAAATATTTCAGTGAAAGTTCTCAATGCAGAACACCTGTTTGGACCGAGCTCCGTGGGAGAGCAGTAGTTCAGTCTGTGCCGAGACCATGCAGAAGCACCTTTCAGAAACAAGCCTAAAATCCAAAGTACAGCTTTAAGACAAACCTTGGCAATTTGAACGTTACCCATCACTCTTTCAGTGAAAGTTCGGTGGGTGTAGAGTAACTCCCAAGAAAGAACAAAGACTTACCAAATCTGATGTAATTTTTGGGGGGTCCTTTCCTCTCCCTCTCGTATGCTGCTTTCCCCCAGTTTTGGAATGAGTGTAAACTGCATTTATCTCTCCTGCTGAGGCATGATAGGATGCAGTTACCGCATGCCTTTAAGTGCTTGGTCTCTTGTGGTATTTTTACCGTGGTTTATTTTTATGTTATGGTGGTCCAGGAAACTCAGAACCTGTTGTCATTTTCTTTTCCTCCTAGAATATGTTGTTTCATTACGCACAGAGAAAATCCACGCAGGGAAACTGAGTACATGAAATTTTCCATATAGAATTTCTAGGCTTCTGTATGCTGCGTTTACTGGATGGTCCTCAGTTCAAACTTGCATGAATTGATACAAAGTTTATAAAAGCGGAGGACAGGAGAAGGGCACTGCATTTCCCCTTTACCTTTTCCAGAAAGAAAACCTGGCCTATATATCATCATTAGAAAACTGTTATTTTTTTTCCTTTATTTACAAGCTGTGTAGATACTGTGTAACAACTTCCATTTTAATTTAAATTACCGGTGCAAAATGGTTCACCTGAGCCATTTGGTGTGAAGTTTGAAAATCTTACCTCCATAAATCACTTTATTGCAAGAGCAACTGTGGCACATGGGTAAGTGCCACATAAGAAAAATATTTCAATATTTCCTGTATAAATATTACGGCAGGGGAAAAAAAAAAATCAAATTCTGTATATGGCTTTTTAGGAGGTTTAGTGGAGAATGTGTGTGATTAATTGCAAATCTCCATTTAGGATCATTTTTATGGGCACTTCTTGTCAAGTAATGTTTCATTTGAAAGGACTCCAGATGCACAATGAATCTCTCAAAGATATCTGATAATACTGCTTTAGAGCAGGATGTTCTTTGCTGTATTTCTCCTTCACTCTCTTTCACATATATTTATATCTTTAGGACTTAACGATATTATGAGAGAAAAGCCTGAATATAATTTTAAAAATGTGTGTGTCCCCCCGTCCCCCCCACCCTTGAAAAAAAAAAATTCAACCACTACAGATTGGAATTTAAAAAGTGGAATTTTTCTCTATAAAATTTTCATAGATGTAAAGTGCTGTAGGTTACTATTGGTAATACTGCGCGCGTTACCTAAGGGCATAGCCATTCCAAAATAGTCTGTGATGTTCTTCTTAAAAATGTAAACTAGATCTGTGGTGTTCTAGTAGCATAGAATATTTATTTCCACGTTCATTCTATTGCTGTTTTAACTTATAAATGCCGAAGTCTGTTTAGAGATAGGGGAAGTCATTTTTTGGGGGCAACAATTCACGTCCTCCAATGCTTTTCAGCCCTCTGTCTTCGGTCCGCCTTTAGCCCCAGCTGTTAGAATTTTCAAAATCTGTAGTAAATCTGTTTTATTCAGTCCAAAATGAATTGTAAGAATTTAACACTGCACAGTTTTCATGCTTATGCTTTTTTTTTTTTTTTAATTTTATCTGAATACTCTGGTTAAGATGACTTTTGTAGAAGAAAAAATAAACTTTCTTTAGTAGTTATAATTGAGGGGGAAAAAAAGCATGACATCAGAAAGCGTATGAAGATAGGGAAGTCTTATCATGGGCTGTGGTTACTCAGAGCAGTATTGCCTTCCCACACAAAGAACAGATTGTGGTTTAACTCTTTCCATGGCCTAGTTTTATGTGCCAGTATAGTATCAGAATTGTTCAAATCTCTGCTGGAAACTACTAATCAGTTTAATTATTGCCTTTGTGGCTCTTTGTCAAGCATCATACTGTAATGTAATCGTTTATGTCCTGAGCTATCTTCCTATATTGTCTCTCTCCTCTACCCGCCACCCCCCCCTTTTTTTTTTTTTTTTTTGAAGGTATCATGGTCAGAGGTAAACTGCTTGCAACTTTTCTGTTGTTTTCTGTTTGACTTGAGGAAGGTTAGGGAAGAGAGGTAACTAGATCTAGAGGGGCTTTTTACCATTCAGGGAATTTTGAACTTTGTTTGAAATTTGAAGATTTAAATACTGAATTCTTGGCCTGAAGCTTCTATGATGGCAGTCTGAAGTCTGCATAACTGAGACCATTAGTTATACTTTCAACATTTTACCTAATGGAGTTAATCAGCCTATTGATTAAACATAATTCATTCCTTGTCTAGCAGCATAGCTAAAATATTAGTTTCTTCACTGTATTCTTGAATATAATTGTATAAAAAAGATTCAGTTTTAGTTTGATTGTACCGCGGCGCTTGGTATGATGAGCAATCTGCATGGTATTTAAAATTAAATATGCCTGCACACAGGAATAAAGATACCTCCCCTAAGGTCTCCCTTCCAAACCAAAATGCAGTGCTGTTTGATAAGCAGATCACGCTGTGTTAAACGGCGGATTTGCTCACGGGAAAGAGGCATTAGTTTTTGGGGAAGGCCTATTTAGATATTAACTTGGATGTGTAGGATGGTACTTAAAGCAGACAAAACAAATTAATTTAGTTGCTATAGGACATACTTGTAGACGACAGCTAAGCATTACCTCCTTAATGTGATTCATGTCGCTGCTAGGCAGAAGATAAGAACTTGCAGGTGAAGCCAGATGACAAAAAGGGATGTTTTGGAACTGTAAAGAAGTTGCATGGATTTCACAAAAGCAGCGTTTGACCAGCGATGCACTCGTAATGTCACTCTGCCACAGCATGCAGAAATACAAAGAATGCAAAGTTTGTGCCAAGTTGCCATTTTTCATTGTACACCTCAGATTGATTATTATTTTTTTATTTTTTTTTTTTTAAGGGGTTTAGAATAGTTGCAACACTCATGTGATCAGTTAACAAATTAACCGACTCTTTGGGGCTTCAAAACCCACAGTGGAGCCGCCGGAAGAACATAAATGTAATTTTTGTTCTCAACTTCATAAACTTCTATTTTACAGAGTTTGGGGGTGGTGGGAGGGAAGCATGAAGAGCTGAAAGTACAGAAGCTTCTGTTCAGCATTTGTATACGACACACTGTGTCTTTTGCCTGCTCTCCCTTACTGTATACTGGTTTCTGTAGTTACCACCACTGGAATGGTGCTGTTTCAGTGCTGGAATGTTGGACGTTTGATAAGAAAATGGATCAATTTTAATGGCGCATGCTCTTTGTGCCACCAGCAGTCTCTTGCTGAGAGCATGCTCCAAAAGCGGGAACTGTGTGGCATTACACTGAGCATGTATATGCTTTGTGTTTCTGTGCCACAGAGAAGAGAAATGAACTGTGGCATTCGCCTCAGCCTTCTGAACGTTTCTGCTCCGATTTTTTAAAACCGTAGCGTGTCCTCTTTGTGCAATGGTACTTTTCTTGATGTTAGCCATTCAGCCAGATATTTAAATATTAGGAACAAAACATATTGATAGCATCTCTTTTAAATGGTGTTGTCTCTGCAGCATTGCAGGATGAAGTGAGGGGAGGCATACAAAATAAAATCTTAACATGGTTCTGTCAAAGAGTGAAATATGGGGAAAAATGCGATTCTCTGTGTACTTTTTGTCTGCTGCCTGGCAGCGACAGTAATTGCGTAAAAGGTATTATGCAGAAATTTGTGTTGATTTTAAGCGTCGTTTCTCTTCATCTTGGGTTTCACTTGAAGATTTTCAGAAATGTGTTTTGATACTGCTTTGATTGTGGGAACTTACTGACTTTGAGTTTTCTTCTTCTCTTTTTTTTTTTTTTTTCCTACCCCCCCCTCCACGAATTTCACCCGTTCATTGAGGCACTTCTTCCACATGTCCGTGCAATTGCCTACACTTGGTTCAACCTTCAGGCTCGAAAACGCAAGTACTTTAAAAAACATGAGAAACGGATGTCGAAGGATGAGGAAAGAGCAGTCAAGGATGAGCTGCTTAGCGAAAAGCCTGAAATTAAACAGAAGTGGGCATCCAGGCTCCTGGCCAAGCTGCGCAAAGATATTCGCCAAGAGTTCCGGGAGGATTTTGTGCTCACGGTGACTGGGAAGAAGCACCCATGCTGTGTGTTGTCCAATCCTGACCAGAAGGGTAAGATCAGGAGAATCGACTGCCTGCGACAGGCTGACAAAGTCTGGCGTCTGGACCTAGTCATGGTGATCCTGTTCAAAGGCATCCCCTTGGAAAGTACGGATGGAGAGCGGCTCATGAAATCCCCACATTGCACAAATCCAGCACTTTGCGTCCAGCCACATCACATAACAGTATCAGTCAAGGAGCTTGATTTGTTTTTGGCATACTACGTGCAGGAGCAAGGTAGGAAGCAGATTGTCGTGTTTCTGTGTTAGTATGTCAAACTCTTGATTCCAAGTAGCCACGTTTCCCCTATGGGCTGGCTTCCAGTGAAACATTATTCTGTGGTCTATAGACATAATGTGGGTACATATCCATATGTAAATCAGCTTCTGTATGTATAAACTTGCATACACACACATTCATACAGACCTGTTTAAGTGGCATGTACGTTTGACATACGTGCCTTGTTCTTTCAAGAGAGAGTGGGACGTACCGAAGGTAGTACTTTAGTTCTCTGAAGTTGCCTTTTTTTTTTTTCAAAATGTGGCAATATATTGTGCAATTTTTCCAGTCGTGACTTCAGAAAACATTCGTCTTGTTTTTCAAGTTGTGTGTTGTTTTTTTTTTGCCCTACCCCAGTAATGTTAGATGCAGGTATGTGCAATTGCACAATCACAATAAATACTATAAATATTTATTACTATCTTTATAGTTACAGATAATCCAGAATTCATCCTTAAACTGATGAATCTGCTATCGCTTTGAAGAGCAATTGTAGACTTTCTCACATCTATAAAATAAAACATGAAAAAAACTTTAGCACAGAAGTTTGTTGACAGAAATACTCATGAGTGAATACCGAAGGTAGTCAGATTTACAGAATAGAGGACTTAACGTTTTATTCATATTTTACATCACTAGCTCATCTTACCTATCTGAGCTTTAAACAAAGATCCAGGTTGTAATATTTCAAGAGCGTTTTCCACGAGAAATATCTTTTCATAATTGCGCTCGTATACTTAATTTTATTTGGCAGATAATTGAAATGTGGATAATTGCAGGGACACTATGGAAAAGCTTCTTAAACTTAGTTTTACAGAATGAAAATAAAAACCTAGCTTCTGATAACAATGTATCAGGGAAAAGACTGGTAGTCATATTGCGTATTCAGTTAACGTTACACATACACAGGCCCCTCGAAATCGTAAATGGCTGTAAGCAGATAAAGGTTTTTTTCTCTCCAGCACTAAGCCTTCTGAAACGCTTTTGCTCTGTGAGGGGTCATTTTGGTTCTTTCAGGTGATTATACCATCGTCTAGACGTCTCTGTATTGCTGGCTGATCAGCAGTAGTAAAGCGTTGCTTTTTTAGCCGCAGACCTCAAACCAGGGAAAGTTTGTCTGTCCGCAGATGGTGGGCCATTTCACAACTTGGCCTGGTTGTAGGCAGAGGTGGCCTGCAGAAGGGCAGATGGCAGGCCGATCTCTGATGCCTGATATGTGACTGCGGGATTTAACTGAGAAACAAATGGAATGGATTTTGTTAGTAATAAAAAAGTAAAATTGTACGTGTCTTCCTTCAGTGTGTACTCATTCCTTAAAAGAACAGATACACAACACAACCGTTTTGTTTTCGATGAATTTGTCTTAGTATTTACCCACCCAAGTAGAGCACTATGTTTACATGGATGTATTAATAGGGTTCCATTTTTTGCATTATTTGGCATGAAAAAATGTGGTTCATTGTTTTGCTGTCTCCCCCCCACTAGTATTTTTTGTATTCTTCCCTCCACAGCAGTAGACAACACTTAGGTATTTTGTAGTGATTTCAAGTAGCTGCAGAATCAGGTAAATCTGATCCCCAATAACAGAGGAAAAAAGATTTTTTTTTTTTTTTGATAGCATTAAACAAAATAGCTTAATCACAAGTAATTTGTACCTTTAAACTCCTTTTGTGGTGAAAAATTCAAATGATATTTTGAATGCATGTGTTGCAAGACGTAGCTTACTGATTAATTCTAATGTGCTTACCTGTCTCTAAAAGTCAAAACTACAAAGGGAGGCAAACCAGTTCAAGTAGCTCTTGAGCCGAAGAAGCTGGGGTCAGAGTACTCTTACATACTGTCAACTTTTAAGTTGTTGGAAGCCAGTAACGTGAAGTGGGAGAAAGAATTGCAGGGCGTAGCTGATTTTTATTGATTTAAATGGATTGAGAATATGAGTTTATTTAAAATACTTGCCTCATCAGAAATGAGTAAGATAAGCATGCTGAAATATAGTAACTTTCAGAGTTACACGATGCTACTTTGGGAATATGCTGGAAGATGAAGCTGGCTAATTTCTATGTACCAAGTCACCCTTAGTAGACCCTTTTGTTTATTGTAAACTACATGTATTTTCTATCTGTCTTGCTGCTTCACAGTAAATCTTCCATTAACATCTGTTGGCACTCTTCTTGAAGAAGTCATATTGAGTTATCTGTGTATTTTTTTTCCGTTTTGTCAAACTTTGATTCTCTGTCCTCATTGAAAGCAGGTTAATTGTGGCACTTTGTAGTGCACTTGATTAAGAGCACCAGGCTTTGCAAAAGATAAGCATGAAGTCAACCAAAATGCTGCATTATCACACATGCTGTTTTGCTTTTTATTTCTCTTTTAGAATATGTAAACTCTCTTAACAGTATCATGTAAAAACTAAGTAGAGACACAGAAAGAATTAAATCCCTGAACAAAATATGAAGAAGGAATTAGCACATAAAATGAATAAAGGGGCCAAGTAGTTTGGTTTTTTTGTTGCTTTAAAAAAGAAGATTAGAGGAAAAAAACAGGAGGAAGGATAGTGCGAGTGCCAGTGATGGTTGCCAGTGGCACCAGGATTGGCATCAGACCTTCTTTGTTTAGCCTAGGATGCCTGTGATTTGTTGGTTGGCATCCGCATTGCAGTGCAGAGTAATGTTACAATATATTGACAATTTCCAGATCTAGAAGTGTCAATAATCCTTTCAGTTCTTAATAAAAGGAGCTTCTACTTGCACTCCTGCCTTGAAAGAAGAAATAAGGACCGACCTATGAAGTTCTCTTATTGACCAACTTTATCTGGTTCTACTTTTCGCTCATCTCCCTCAGAATTCAGCATCTTTTTTTTGCCCCTCTTTTTCTTTCTACTATCCTCTTGTGCTTTAGGATCTTTAAAAAAAAAAAAAAAGGA